AAAAAAAAAGGGGAAAAAACCCTTGAACTTCCGGGCTGCACTCTTACCGAAAAATACCTCCACAACCACCGTCTTCGTCGGCTGTGCCACCTAAACACCACCATTGGCTCTATTTCTCCTTCTTCTACATCATAACAAACAAAAGCAAAAAAACCCTTGAACTTTCAGTCTCCCATTTCCATTCCCGAAAAACACTTCCACCGCTGACATCTTCATCTACTGTGCCACCCAATAACCACCATCGGCCCACCACTCATTCATCTACCAATTCTTCCACAACGTCGTTTTACAAACCCAGCGCGGTATCCGCTACGACTACTCCAAGTGAAACTAAAGAAAATGTCACCGTTTCTTTACGATTTCGGCTCCTTAGGTAATATATTTCTTCTTTTCTTTAAATTCGTTGACTCCTAGACGTCGGTATTAAGTGGGTTCCGCAAATACGTAGGATAGTTTCGTGAATGGCGTTTGGAAGATTGAATTTTTTGGTTTATCTGTTGACTTGATTGTTTTTGGGATTCTTAGGTGATGATATGAGGCATATTTTAGATTTTGTATAATCAATTTTAGGGATTCTTTTTTCCATGAATTCTCTTTATTAGGACTTCAGAATTTGTTGCTACATAGCTCGAGATATAAGGACTTCAGAATTGGTTGCTATCAAAGTGATATCATTAGCTGAAGGGGTACTTATTATATTCTTTTTTTTTTTTTTTAATTGCATATGATAATACCATATAAGTTTAGTGGATCGAATATGAAGTTTGAAATCTCATAATTTATAAGAGGACGGTTATGAAGAAATTCGTGGTGAAATTGAGATGTTGCAGCAATGTTGTCACCGTAACATTGTTCGTTATCTAGGTAGCTACCGAGGAGAAGAATATCATTGGGTATGAAGAAGATCATCGGCCTTCAATTATATAATAATTTTTTTATCTTTTTGGGATGGTTTCGAGAACATGATGCTGTGTACCCCCTCCTCTTGGTTTCTAAATCAGATGAAAACTGTTAGTTATTCACTTGAATTTAAATATTCGAGAATTTTGTATATGTTGGCATTTGTAATGGATTATTTTGGGGGCAGGAGTGTTGCTGACTTGATGAATGGCCTTAGCCTCTAGAGGAGTGTAAAATAGCATATATCTGCAGAGAGGCATTCAAGGTACCATCATTTTGGTTAGTTATATTTCCAAATCGAACTTTTTATCTTTACTACAGATATAACCGTGTCCTTAAAGAATGCTGGGATTGTTATTGGGTAATGTGGAATGATTTTGTCCATGTGATAATGCTTCACCATCCAAGGTTAAAATATATCATGACTTGGCACGAATGTTTTATTTTAGAGTTTGATAATTACCACATGCTTTTCCATACTAATCTTCTTTTACTGAAATGCTAAAGGTGAGAATACTTGTTCCCATGATGTATAAAATAAGCTAAATCAGTGGGTAATTTGAGAAAAACTTATTCAGCAAAAATTGTCATTAACGTTGGGACATGCCAAAATTGACAGTATCGACATCTCCGATATTTTTCTTGCTGGCTGTTTCTTATATTTTGCTGAAACTATATATATTATCTCATACTTGCACTCAATTTTCAAGTTACATAGAGATATTAAAGGTAGTAATGTGTTGTTGACGGAGTTAAATATTATTTTTCTATCTATGTTTACAAGAAGCTCTTGTTAATACTTGTTCAGTTGGTTGGTTGATTTACCTTGTGGTTCCTGAAATTTTAGAAAGCCCTTTAAGTTGGAACCTACCATATATGCCAGTGCACAAGTACTTTTATTATGTCCGTCTTCATTTATAGCTCAATTGAAATTATTTTTTCTTTGCTATCTATGTCAAATTTTTAACAAGTACCATTCAAGCTTTTTAATTGCACTACTGTGAATGTAGTCTGCTTACACCTTAATGATTCAGATGAAATGGATAACATGGTGATAGAGATAGGACAAAAACCTGGGTTCCTATTTGCCGCCACCATTGCCGCCGCCAATTTATGAAACTTTTGCAAGTGATATGTTGATGATAAAATGAATTCATGGGACTTTTGAAGATCAATTTTAAATAAATAAATGTGGCCACTTCACGAAGGCCTAAGGTTTTGGATCACATGTTCACATAAATTTTATTCATTTGCATTTTTGTTGTAATACATAGAATTTATCAGTCCTTATTGGTTTATCAAACAATATATTTTACGTCAGATATAATTATGTGCAATTTTCATGTCCACTAAAAGGATAATTAGAAAAATGAAATGGATATTTAAATAGTAGAGACTACAATGTTATGGATATATGATTATTCACATTTCAATTCTTAATTACAGAGATCATGGGAAAGGGCAAAAATGGCATCATCGCTGGATGAAGTTGGTAGAGCTCCACTTCATTTTGCTCTATTTATGCTTATTTATAAATCAAAATATATCAATAGAATTATGTTAAAGTTTTTGGTTTTTGTGGTTTCTAATTGGGTGCTGATTTATTGATATAGTTGTGGTAACGGATGATAATAAGATTGTAGAATGCTATAGAGGATTTGGCGCGGATGTGATATTGACATCAGAATCATGTCAAATTGGTAAAATAAGTCCTTCAATCTGCTGTGAATCATTGAAACTTGTGTTGGTTGGATATATTGCTAATTTTTTTGCTTTTGTAAATTTTCTAGGCACAGAGCATTGTAATGAAGTACATCAAAAGCTTGGGAACAAGTTCAATATTGTATTCAAGTGGATGAACCTCTTATTGAACCTAAAATAATGGATGGCATGGTAAAGGCTCTTCAGGTAGTGTTTATGCCATATGTATTTCTTGGCTAATGAATTCAATAGTACAACAAATAACAAAAAATGGTAAAGATAGGGATAGTAAAGGTTGAGCTCATATTTTATTATCTTTTCTCTCCAACAAGATAACAGTCAATACCATCTCCAAAATGCGATGCCCAGTTCCTACAATGAGTAGTGGCGCACTGCTAGTGTTTACTTGGTATGTCATTTAGGCCCACTCCAAACCAGTCTACAACTCGTGGTGCTCATGCCTCGAGGCTATATTAAAGCATGTAGATACCACTTAGGAGCTCATAGTGGTCAACTGCATATTGGTTTATTTTTGTTGAAATCCAAAGGTTAGTGTTCCGTATGTACCTGGATGTTAAGGAAGTCTCATGAGTGGGTACAAACCAATAATAGAGTCCCCAATGTGAACCAATCCTTGGTCATAATTATTGTCAAATCACCCTTAGGGTGCCATGAGTATCAAGACTTGGAGTTGTTGGTCTATCACCGTTTGGGCTATTCTTATGGGTTTCTCATGGTAATTTTGAATTGGAATGAAAACTAAATACTTCTCTTTTCTAAACATTGTCTTCTCACAATCCGTGAGACTGGTTCGAGAATTTGAAAGAGAAGCTCCATAAAGCCAACTGTGGTTATTTATATGGAATCGATATAGCTCTGGAGAGGTGAATCCTCAATTTCTATAGTTGCTTCATTTGGGGATTTAGGTATCTATTAAACAATTGTGAAATCGTTTTGGTACCATAATCCTGTATTGAAATATGAACATTCTATTTCTAAAGCCATTTTTTCTCACTACACGGCACCTCTTGTTGTATAGATGGATTTTTTTTTTTTTGCTGCTGATTGTGTTAGAATTTCTCAATTTTCACTTTAAGTGTTTGAAATTTGAAGGCCTTGTTTGAGTAGCAATAGTGAAGTTCAAATCTTGTGTAAATTATCACCTTCGACTACGAAAACTTACTAAACTTCAGAATACATATATATATATATATATATATATACATATATCAAATGAGGGGGGAGGGGTATGCTGATTTTAATAGGCTGTTTTAGACTTTTAACTTTTAATAACTTTAATCCTACTCAGTACTCTCCTTAGTTTTATATAAATCTTTTCTTAGAATCATGTATAAATCCTTTTTTTCCCACCACCGATGACATAAATTTAAACTTGATTTCTTTTTATAAGGTCACCCGTGGCACTCCCTTTTAAAATTCTTAGATTAATTTATCCCTTTTTCAGCATCTTTGGAAAACATCAAAAGGCTCACTCCGGCCAAAAGTTTTAACCTATCTGGGTCACTCAGGATTAACCTAAAAACAGTATGACTTCTAGAAATCAAGTTATGCTTTTATTATATGCATAGGATGAAATGATAAATATAACAAATATTTACTTAACAAAAACATAAACATACAAAAACATAAGCATAAAAGGATAAAACATAAATCAGGGATTTATAAATTCATCTTTGAAAAGATTTACAACTAAGGATTTCCTTTTTGGGAAGTCCCTAAAGTTCTAAAATAAACTTAAGAAAGTAAAAGAATACCTTAAATATTCACAAGAGTGTTTCAGCTATACAATATTTTTTGGATTGAGAATTTTTCTGGAGGAAATGTTTCAAAGGTTTTTTAGATAGCAGAGAGTATACAGGTTGTAAACTTCTGTCTAAACCGAATAAAACTCATTCCTTAAATAGAAAAATTTTTGGGAGTAAAAAGTCTAAATTATCCTTAAGAAAGGCACACATTTCACCGAGAAACTTTTGGCCATTTTAAAGTCTAACAAGTGGCAAGGAAAATTTCAAAAGTTCCTACGTCTTTTGCTAAGAATTCAAAAGGTCTACAGTTGGAAATATTTCTTTTACAAGATTTCCACCAACTTTACAAAAAAGTCTAAGAATTCTATCAATAAAATAGAGAAAGTCTAAAGTTGAATAGTAAACTTTTATCACCACTTTGAGAGAATATTTCATCTTTTATTCTTTTCTGCTGGCACATTTGTCTTGTTTTGCATTATTGAGAATCTTATCTTCAGTTTTTTCTTCTTTTCTTCTACCAAATTGTCTTATTCTGCATTATTGAAAATCTTTATCATGTATCAAGATTATGGCGTGCCACTGATGAAAATGACATTCCACTGTCTGAATTATTATATCCTTCGTTCTGTAGATCTTCGTCTTTATCTGAAAGTCTGAAATTACTGGTTTCATTTTTTTCTTTTTGATGTGGACATTCTGGAATTTCTTTCTCTTCTCCATGATTTTTTTTAGAATTGTCTCAAATGTTTGATTGACTGCTTCTCTAATTTGTTTTTTTTAATCCTTCATCATTTTTCGTCTTCTTAATTTTTTTCCTTTTTCTGGAAGAAGTTCCTTCATCTTTTTTAGATTGTTTCTGAAATTCTTCAATTTTTTCAAAAATCTTTTTTAAAGAAACAGTATCTGGATTAGGGTCTTGTGCTTCTTGAAGAAATAAGCAGTCTTGACTATCTTGGGCTACCATTTTTTTCTTTCCTTTACTAGGATGAATTTCTTGGGCTTGTGAAAGATCTGGGTTATTTGAAAAGTGTTCTGGTGAAAAATATTTTGGTGGACTATATTTAACTAAGTAATCAAATTTTCCGCTGGGCTATCCTAAAAGATTCCAAATTTTTTTACCTTTTTCTGTAGCAGATTTATCAGTCTGTTGAGTCTGATTATCTAATTTAGTAGAGGAATCAATAGTCCCCTGAGTCTGTTGGACTTTTGGTAAGTCCACAACCTTCAACGGATTTGATAAGTCTTTACCAGCTACAGTTGGGGCTGGACTAGCTATGGACTTCTTGGGCTCCATAGTACATGTTGGATATTGGACTTTTAAATCCAAATTTCTTTTTCGAGTTGGGCTACTTTCTTTTGGAGTTGGGTTCTTTCTAGTGAAATGTTCTGATTGGCTTTATTGATAACTTTGTAATTTATTTGCATACACTCACAGTGTTGGCAAAAAATATTCTGGTCTTTACTTGGAGAGAAGTCTAATGGAGGATCAGAGTAATTCTTTAAAGAAGGAGATAAATAAAAATTTATTCCTATATGCTGTCTTGCTGCGTCTAATGCTTCTTGAAAATTTGTAAAACCTTTGTAAAGAGGGTTTGGAAAATTTTTAATGCAATCTAAAACTTCCATCTAAGAATGAAAAATTTCTGGATTTTTACCTTTAATAACAACATAGAATTTAAATCTTTGCTTGTTCTGACTAAAATGTTCTGACAATACATTCATGCATACAAGAAAATATTTTTGATCTTTTGGATTCTTATTATATGAATTACATAAATAACAAGCTTGTGATACCAATTACATAAAAAGGAATTAGTAATTGGGATAGAAAAAACTTATAATATTAGAACTCACAGGTATAAGAGATAAAAGATTAACTTATCAAGTAAAATATAGTATAGATATTTGTGGATATTTTGAGGAAGATAACATAGTAGGAACATATAGTAAATATTTATTTGAAATTTTAGAAATTTTAAGAATTGTTAAAGATTTACTTGTTGAATTAAGAGAAAATATAGTAAAAAGAGTTTTAGTAGAAGAATATAGAAATATTTATATTTTAACAGAAATCTATTATATATTAGAACTCTGGATACAAATAGAAAGCTTGAATACTTAGACTTAGATTTAAGAAATATCAGTAAAAAAGTACAAACAATTGATAATAATATAATTAAGTGTAATTTAGACAATAAGCATAAATTACATAGTTTATTTTCAGAAGATCCAAGTCAGAATTGTATAGTAGACTTAATCATAAATTTATCAAAAAATTTAGAATTAGAAAATAAAAAGCAAAATAATTATTTAGAAGTTATAAAAGAAAATATTATAGTTAGAGATCAAGAAATTAAAAATATAAAAGAATCTTTAGATTATATTAAAAATCAAAATTCAAGTATTTTAGAAAAAATTGCTAAATTAGAAAAAATACCATCCAAAGTAGATTTAACAGAAATAAAGAGAATTTTAGATTTTAATAAATCTAAAGAAATAGAAATAGGATCTACATCAAGTGTAGAAAAAGATCTAAAAGTTTTAACAATTACATTAGAAAATCTAAGTTTTAGAGAAACATGAAAAGAAAAGGTAACTAGGAAATTACCTAAAGAATATAAAT